AGGGCTAAAGGAATACAAGGCTCAATAGAGCTGTGACTCTCAGTCAGCCTGGCTACAGTGCTGAAAAGAAACCTGGGGTTATTCTTGTTTTCTTCTATTAAAGCTGAGTAATAGTTTGCTCTGGCATTGCGGAGGCCCCACTTATAAATTTTGAGACTGTCTGCCCAGATTAAATGAGATTCTTCCAGTTTGGTTAATCGCCAATTCCTTTCAAATTTTCGCAATATTTGTTTTAACTTATGGGTTTGAGAGTTATACCAAGGAGCGAACTTTCTTTGCTTTGTTAACTTCTTTTTAAGAGGAACTACAGAGTCGAGTGTTGTTAGCAGCGAGCCTACGGCACTATCAACAAAATGATCAATTCGGGAGAGGTTAAAGTCGGTACGGGAAACCTCTGTTACTGAAGGACTTGGTATTGAATTTAATGATGGAGTAATCATTTCCTTAAATTTTGCGACAACACTATCTGTTAAACATCTAGTATAGTAACTGTTGCTGAGTGGCATGTAATCGAGTAAAAAGAAATCAAAAGTAATCAGATTGTGGAAAGACTGTTATCAATTTCATTTCCATATGTCAGAACTAGATCGAGGGTATGGTTAAAACAGTGAGTGGGTTCATGTACACCCTGACTGAAGCCAATGGAGTCTAATAATGAGATAAACGCGGTAGCCAGGGAGTCATTATCAACGTCGACATGAATGTTAAAATCGCCTATAATAATAACTTCATCTGATTTAAGAACTAAACTGGATAAAAACACTGAGAATTCAGATACAATTTCAGAATACGGGCCAGGAGCACAGTACACTATAACAAATAAAAGTGGCTGCAAGGTTTTCCAGGTCGGATGTAAAAGACTAAGAACAAGGCTTTCAAATGAATTATAATCTAGTTTAGGTTTAGGGCTGATTAACAGACTAGAGTTAAAAATGGCTGCAACTCCCCCTACACAGCCGCTGCCTCGAGGAAAGTGGATATTATTATGACTGAGAGGAGTGGAATCAATAAGACTAACATATTCATCTTGACACAGCCAGGTTTCAGTGAGACTGAGGAAATCAATATGATTATCTATTAATTCGTTTACTAACACTGCTTTAATTTGAGTATAATGCAATTCAAGTATAAGGTAAGTGTGGGAGTAGTGTACTGTAGTAGTTGAAATTTCAGGGTTAAACATTTAGGAGTTGATTTTCACTCCCAAAGTGTAATTTCTGTGTTAAATTGTGTTCAGTGTTGGAGTTATTTGACAGAGCTGATCACATGAGTGTTAACCCAACTCTGCAGATTTGTAATTGAACTCCGCCTCCGCCCCCCGCACTTCACTTCTTCAGACAAGGAGACAGATCAGCGCCATTTTCCTCCTCTCATGCGGTCCTACACGGTAAGTGCAAGTAAGTTCAAACTTGTTAAAATAATTATAAATTGATGCTGGGAACTGTAGTATGAACAATGAAACATCTATGGAAAATAATATGCTTTACAAAGCCTTGTTTATTGACAGGACTGAACAGCAAATTTGTCGAGGTAAGCTAACAGTAAATTAAGCTAACATGGCGTTAGCTAACGTTAACGGTTAGGTATTAAAGCCGTCTATAGGGATACGCCAACATTTGTTTTGTTTGCGTGTGTTGCCTCACACACTTGGGTCGCAGTTGTTCTGGCAACAGTGGTGTCAGTGGCAACAGCCAACAGATTAACAAAACCTAAACACACATGAATCTTCTCGGCGCTGCAACTAGAAAAAAAGACCTCCACTGATTTTAAAATCAGCCGACACTTTGTATTTAAAGGGTTAGGGTTAGGGTTAGGGTTATTTAAACGAAAATCTCTGACCTCAAAATAAAATAATCAGCTCAGGCCTACCTCAGTCCTCTCTCGGCATAGCGGTCAGATTGTCTACGGGTTTTTATTAAGAACGGAGAATACCCGCTCAGATGTCCCGTGGTTGCAGAGAAAAAGGTTAACAAAAAAGGTTATAAAAAATTAATTGATAGTATTAATCGGTCAAAGTTCATGTTATCGGTTAACGGTAAAACGGTTAATCATGTGTATCCTATGGACTTCTCTTTATTTTATTTTTTACTGTTCTTCCTTTACATGTTAATTTACTCTGTCTTTCTTGCATGTTTCAGTTAAAATGCTGGTGCAGGTAAAGTACAGCCAACAGCAGAAGTATGTGAAGTTGGATGAGGTTGAAGGACAGTTTGACTTTCTGCATTTCCATGTAAAAGGTATTTGATTTTTTTTTAAAGTTTAAAAAATGCACCTATATTCTATTAAAACTTCTTTTTGGAAGCTCTTTAAAGCTGTAGACCATGATTTCTTTAGATACCTTTAGCAGACATAAATGATGGTAAATTGCTAAACATTTTCAGTTTCAGAGTGTAAGGCGTAATATACACCCAAACAGTCAATTTAAAAAAACAAGCCAATTTTCAAATCTGGAATTACGAGAGAATGGGATTTGCGAGGGGGAAATGTTCTAGGTCTAATGATTATACAGTGGTGGATGAATGTATGTTACGTGAACAGTCATTCTCTGTGAGGCTAGAAACAGTGCTGACTCCAAAAGCACATTCTGTTTTATTATACTATCTTTTCCAGTCCTCGAGAGATTTTGCCTGCCACCTGATGCACAGAAGTTGATGCAGAAATATTCAGCGACCTCTTTGGACAAGGCAATGCAGTGCTGACAGTTTTCTCAAATGATGGTGAGATGTACAGGCAAGTATAATCAAGCACTCTACAGCCTACATAATACAATTATTTACATGTTTTTTTATTCCTTCAGAATTTGATAGCTCCTTGTCTTCTTCCTCTGAGATGTCTGACTCAAGCTTCAGCTCAAGTGCGTCAACTGTAATCTTGGATGAGGTCCCTAGCAAGAGACAAAGAATTGAGGATACACGTGCAGTGTCTGCTAAACAGGTTGTAACAAAGCTTGATTCTCAGTTCCTTAACTCTAATATTTTTTGACTCTGAGTCTCTAGAAAAGCTGTTTATCACTTTCTCATCATGTTTTGCATTCTCATGTTTCAGGCAAGTCCGGTGGTGAAGAAGTACTACAGGAGTACCAAACAACAGAAACCCTAACAGATGCTACGAGGAGACAAATGGTTAACATATTGGTGGCTCACATGATTGATAATCATGGGTATGTGTGTTTCATTTTCTATTTATTTGTGCCAAATAACTGCATGGCCATTGCATAATTTTAGATTACTAATTTAATATATCCTCTCAGGCACCTCCCCACTAAAGTAATCCGAGAAGAGTATGCTCTTGGTAAAGTGATGCTGTTCCCTTCCCTCAAGGATCCATATTCCAAGAAAGGCTATGTAATATTCATTATCATTGTTTTCATGAATTGTTCATGTTATACTTAACATGTTGTGTTATAAAGCTGTTTGTATGTCATTGACATTTGAATTCTGAGATTCCTTATGAGCTGAGTATAACAATGCATTTTATTTTTGTCATTTCAGGAACACTTCTATGATGCTGCAAGCAGCACAGGATACCTTTCTTGGCGGCTGAAAACAGTCCAAAGGAAGATTCAGCGAGAATCTACAACGGCACCAAAAAGCCCTATTGACTTTTCTCCAGGAGGCCCAAATTTCCAAAGGTCTGTTAATGTTGAAAGGCAGCTTGATGGGGGTGCTTGCCAAGAAGCCATGTTGTTCCTCAACCATACCACAGACAAGTCACTGATTTTCCAAAAGATGAAAGAGACCTTTCAGCACCATCAGAAGCTTGTTAATGACCCAGGCAGAAGTGCAGATATCCTCTCCACCTTTCCAAGATTCTTGGATACAAAAGGATTGGTAAGTTTGGAATGAGATGTTTAGAATGGCTTGAAATTTGAAAGTGTTTTCTGTAGTAATAGTTTAATAATCTTATTCCTTAAAGGTAGATCAAGACTTCGCTCTCCTATTTGATGACGAGACATCCTCCAGGCTACTTCAGAAATGAGATGTGTTCTTCAAGCCAAATGTCATAAAAGGGGCTAAGCGGCTTACTTCAACACCAGAGTTGCGTCGCTTGGTGCAGTCAGCAGAAAGTCCCCCAGGAAGTGATCTTGATGAGGCAACAGGTGAGTTGTACTTGTTTTGCTAGTTTTAAGGCATTAGCTATAATTGCAGTTACAGTTGCTTCATTCATTATTTTCATGATTAAAATTAGGAAATGAACACCTGTGAGATTGTTTTTTTACTTGGTTTTATTTGTTTATTCTGTGTATCTCTGAAAGTTGATTTGATTTTTGGGACAAATGTGAACAATATGAACATAATGCCTCCCTGTTCTCATTTAAACTTGAAAAGTATTCAATTTGAAGTTAATTCAATCAATTTGTCAGTTAATTCTTGTGACTCATTGTCCTCAGCCTACGACCAAGAAATGGCCTCACTGTTGTTGCTGATACATCTCCTTCCACCACCGCCAGGGGGTCTGAAGTCTCCAAAGATTAGTGCATGTGACGCAGTTGAGAGACTTGTAGTTTTTCATAAGGTAATTATATTATTAATGTGATTAGAATAAGAATAACTGTATTGCTCCTCAGAGGGAAATTCACTTGTCTGGCAGCTCATCTACCATAATTTGTCATGTTACCTTCTTAGCCACAAAAGTAAATGAGGATTGTTAAAAAGGGAATAAACTGAAAATAAGTCTTCATAGGCTTTCCCATCTTGCACTAGCCTATGAGAAGATGTTTGAATTGTCACGTCTGTGGTATAATGTAGTTTTTTCTGTGGCTGCACGTTATTCTTGTGTCTAATGTTCAGTTTCCTTATCAACGCTAGTCATGCTGCAGTTTGGAAGAGCATCTCCGCAACCAGCAGGGTCAGCAGCCGTACCTCCTCGCTGTTGGGCGTCAGAAGAGCAAGATTGACAGCTTCTACATTGCCATGGATAAGCATCTCATCCCATGCCAGGCAAACGGCTCCCTTGGGGCATGTGATGAACTTTTCAAGCACATTTTGTGTTTAATGTGTCTTATGATGCTGTATTTGTAAATGTTTACACATTCCTGCAGACAACAGTGTATAACATTGATGTGGGGAAAATGAAGGAGTCACCCAGAGTTAGAGACCTAAGAGCCAGACTGCTTAACCAGCCAGTAGCACGGTAAGTGCTAAGACAAGTAAGAGGCTAAGACAGTGCTGACCTGTTTCATGTGTCAGAAATCGTATCCCAGCAGTCATCAGTTGATTTCACATTTAAGAGTTGAACATGGTTACTATCCTGGACTCAGGTTCAAATTGCTTTGTTCACAGCAAGGGTGTAGGCACCAGTTCCAAACATATACAGGTTTTCGGAAGCACCTTAATAGTGTTCATAGTAATGTTCAGCAAGTTGCTCAAACTTCAACTGCTGCATGTTCCTCTAGCGAGCCAGTTGCAACCTCATCTCAGGCTCATGCTTTGGAGGACCAATTTAATCCTCCAAATCAATGTAGCTCTTCCAGTGTTCCTTCTGACAGCAATGATTCAGGAACTACTGAAGATCCAACCAAAGAAATGTGTGCATCCATTGTGGCCAAATTACAAGGGAGTGGGATTTCTAACAGTTTGGTATCCTCAATTGTAGGTGATTTGGAAGAACTAACAAGTGAGCTTCGCTCACAAGCAAAGCATACCGCTGTTTCTGCTTTACCTACAACTGACCCCAACATATCTGTGATAAATGAGTCTTTTGAAAAATTTGAAAACCCATTCACAAATCTGAATACAGAATGGAAACGAAATAGATATTTCAACCAAAAATGGGGAGTTGTCGAGCCAATAGAAATAACACTGGGAGTAAGATATGACAGCAGGCGAAATCAAAAATCTGGTACACACGATCAAGTACCTGTGATGGATACTTTTATATATGTGCCAATTTTAGAAAGACTGAAGTTCATGTGCAGAAATCCAGACATTTGTGTTTACCTAAACAAAGAGTGTAGATCAGAGCCTGACACTTATACTGACTTTTTTGATGGAAGTTATTTTAAAAGTCACCCTTTATTTACGGCAAAAAGAAATGCATTACAAATTCAACTATACTATGATGATTCTGAAACGGCCAATCCGCTTGGCTCTAAATGTGGAATAAAATTGGCTGTCTTTATTTTGTTGTAAGAAACTTGCCCCCAAAATTTAATTCAGTTTTAATGAACATTCATTTGGTATCACTTTTTCATGCACAAGAATGAAAAACAAGTATGGTTTTGATGTTATACTGGAACCATTGATAAATGATGTGAAAAAACTGGAAAGCCAAGGGCTAAGCTTTTCATTTTCTGATGAGCCAGTGTATGGTACAATTGCACAGATCACTGGAGATAATCTAGGGATGCACACAATTCTTGGTTTTAATGTGTCATTCAGTAGCCGTCATTTCTGTCGCCTATGTTTGATTGACAAGAATGATTCTCAAACAGTGAGGATGAAACCAAGGTGATCCTTTGTGGAAAAGATATGTTTGAAATGCATTGGCAGTCTCTCCAAGAAAATCCACAATTGAAGTCACTATATGGTTTGAAAAAAAATTCTACACTTAATTCATTGAAGTATTTCCATGTTTGTAATAATTATTCATTTGATATAATGCATGATCTTCTTGAGGGTGTGGCTCAGTACGAGATCAAATTGCTTTTTGGATATCTCATACAACACTTTATTTCAGAACAGGACTTGCTTACCAGGATTTACAGTTTTGATTATGAATTTTTAGAACGTAAAAACCGTCCCACAAAGATTATTTTGGAGAGTGCAGGCAATGGCACTGGTTTGAATTCTATTCAGACTTGGGGCTCTAGTTTCCCGGTGCAGCGCAGGTGGCACAGGGTGGCGAACCCCGCGCAGAGCTAGTTTCGAGCAGCGCAACCCGAGGTGCGCTCAGTTTGGTAGTTTGGCAGACTGAGGTGCGCTGAGATGGGTGTGGCGGCGCAGCAGGGGGAGGTGTCGACAGATCCAGTTTGGCGCAGTGACAGTTTCGTGCCAAAAGGCTTCGCCGAAGGTGCACTAAAAGCTCACCATCTGAAACCAGGTCTACTGTCAGCGCAGCCAGTGTAAGCTGAAGTTTGGCTGACCGGCGGACAGTGCGCACACGTCACCTAAACCTCACAGGCAGGTTTCCAGAATATCAGGCACATTAACGATGCAATAAATACCCCAAAAAACACTATTCAATGCAACTATCTGCAATCAGCACATGAATGTATCTCTATATCGACTGTCCCACCACATCTGATGTCAGCTCAAAGGGGATTGGCACCGTTTGACACGTTTGGCACGTTTGGCACGTTTGGCACGCGTAATGGAAACCCAACCTGATTTGATTAACACAGCCTGAAAACTAATGAGTTCACATCCCTCTCAGCCAACCACAAACAGCCACAGCATCAGATAGGGAGTATATATTCAGCATCTGTCATCTTAGAAAAGTCAAAAGAAAAGAAACAGAGTGAGACTGCGAGAGAGAAAGAGAGAGCGCGCGCGCATGAGAGAAAAGCAACATTGATTTACAATTGTGGTGACCTCCTCCCAGGCTACCTTTGCATCATCAGCCCATGGAGGTCTGCTCGCAGTTCCGTATATTTGGAAACTGCGAGCAGACCTCCCAGACCAAAACATCAGTTTCCTCCTGGGAGAAGTTTGGCCATCTGACGCTACTGCTCTCTTCTGCCATGGCGAATTTAGTAAACTCTCATTACGCCTTCGCGCGGCGCATTTAAGGGCGAGGAGAGGGGCTCATTTGATTGGTGTGATGTGTGTAAAACCCACTCCACGCCTTCTCTCCTCCCTCTTTCCGACTTGCGCCGGTAGGAGGGACAGAGGTGGGATAGAGGAGTAGCTGCGCCAGGGCGCACGGTGTGCCAAACTTACAAAATCCGTCTGGCCACACCCAGTTGGCGAAGCGCAGGTGCGCTGCGCCCCCGCCGCGCCCAGTCTGCGAAACTAGAGCCCATTGTGTCTTGTGAAAAACATCCCACTGTTGTTTGGTGACGTTATTCCTGAAGGAAATCCAAACTGGAATTAGTTACTGCTGTTACTTCAAATAATGAACATTGTTTTTTTCACCTTCTCTCACTCTAGGTATGACAATATATTTGAAGCATTTGATTGTTTACCACCATAAATTATTTAAGAACTTGTATCCACATAGAAACTTGATACCTAAGCATCATTTTATGATCCATTACCCGTCTTCTGTAAGGAAAATTGGCCCCTTATTACATATGTGGTCTATGAGGTTTGAAGCCAAACACAAGCTGTTTAAAGATTCTTTAAAAAATTTCAAAAACATAACCAAATCACTTGCTGAAAAACATCAGATGGCCATTGCTTATCACTGGGAAACCTTCACCCTCAAACAAAATGAGTATGGACCAATTAAATCTTTTTCCCTCAGAGATGAGAATGTAATCAACAATGACATTCTTGAAATGATCTTGTCAAAAGATGTTTTCTCAACTAGCTGAGTAAAAGTTGATGGTGTAGAGTATAAAGCTGGACTTGTTGTCTGTAGTGCAATTGAAGAAGACATGCCAGTCTTTTGTCAAATAAGTCATGTACTTTTGGTTGAAGATCACATTTTTTTTCTGACAAACAAGCTATTCACAGATAATTTTGATGACCATCATCATGCATTCAGAATATTACAAAGTGAGGAAAGGTATATATTAAAAATGTCTGAGATTAAATTTAATAAACCTTTTGATATTCAAAGTTCATACAGTGCTTCAGATGAAAATTTGTACATTATACCCTCATTCATGTTTTAAAGTGACTGCATGGGAGGAAAAAATAAATGTTTTTGAAAATGATTTTGTTAATTTGAATGAATTATGATTTTATTTATATATATATATACACATTATATATATATATACACATTTAAAAAAACAACAACATTTTTCCAGTGTTGCTAGCTTGACACTTCAGGGAGTAAAATTAACACTACCAAATAGTAAAAAAATGTAACTCAGAGCAGTGTTATTCAAATCCCTGAGTGTTACTTTAACTCTGGTTTGCGAGTTAAAAAATGAACTCTGGTATAGTGTTAAATATTTAACTATTTTGAAAGTGTTAATTTAACTCTGGAAAGTGTGGACCTATATAAACCCTGGAAAAGTGTTGAAATCAACTCTGTGGGAGTTAATTCAACACTTTTGCTGTGTATAGGCAAAGTTTAATTTGAGTATGTATTAAGTATAAGAATAGAGCAATTCAAGTATAACAGTAGTATACCTTTAGTACTAGAATAGTATAATGTAAGTATTCAAATTGTGTACTTTAAGTATACACAAAATATTATTTGAGTAGCCTATACGAATGGTACATGTTAAGTATAACGGGGCGGCAGTAGGTCAGTCCATAGGGACTTGGTTTGGGAACCGAAGGGTCGCCTGTCAAGTCCCCGTCCGGACCAAATATGGAGCGTGGACTGGTGGCTGGAGAGGTGCCAGTTCACCTCCTGGGCACTGCCGAGGTGCCCTTGAGCAAGGCACCGAACCCTCCAACCACTCAGGGCGCCTAATAAAATATATAAAATTAAAAATTAAAAAAAAATTAAGAATAGTGTAATTCAAGTATTATGTAAGTATAGGAGTAGTGTACTTTAAGTATACACAAAGAATGATTTGAGTATATGAATGGTATACTTTAAGTATACAAATAGTACAATTCAAGTACAACAGTAGTATACTCTAAGTATGAGAAGTACACTACAAGTTCACTCATAGCATACTTTTAAGTATACTCAGCGTTTACTTACATATAGTTCAAGTATACTCAGAGTTTACTTAAGTATACTTAAAAGTGGGCCAAATTAGGACACTTTTAGTATACAAGTATACTTAGTAAGTATACTAACAGTATACTTAACT